ATCTCCAACGGTTTGGAAGTTATTGGCAAAAAACGAAAATTTCGCAAAATCTGAAGGGGTACCCCCTTGGAAAAATCTCGGAAAAATCGAAAAATTTTTTTTTCTCAAAATATCGAAGAATGCTTTAATTAAAAGTTGTAGATACTGTTATTATCCAGAAAAAAGGTCTTACACAAGTTCCTTCTATTTCTAATACATCAGGACTAATCGATTAATTATTTCATCCCCAATTATTCCTTAACGAGTTAGAAAAAGATCTTCCCTGTATCTTACAACTATTTACTACCGACGATTGTTTTGTTTTCTATTTCTTACATCGATGGCAATAAATTCTAGAGATCGTAAAAAATTTTTGCGTGTGACACAAAGTGTCACAAAGCTTTAGTAATCTCTCCTCCTCCTCTCCTCTACTAATTGTTTAAAGCGAGCTAGGCAGGTGAAACGGTTCTCCATTCAAATTCAGTTTTTTGAAAGAATTACGCTACTTCGAAGGATGCCAACTACTCGACGTACCGGGATATGTACAAATACATGAAAGCGAACGCCAAAGACGTACTGACGCAGACCAACGACGAGGGCCTGGAAAAGGTGCTCAAAGAGGATTACGCGTTTCTAATGGAGTCCAGTTCCATCGAGTACATCGTCGAACGGTACTGCAACGTCACTCAAATTGGAGGACTCCTCGACGCAAAGGGTTACGGGATCGCCATGAAGAAACGTACGTTTCATTGATTCCTATACTAAATCGATCAATACATAATTACAATACAATAATTGATCCAATTTAATTCAGATTCATCGTACCGTCACGCGTTTAACGCCGCCGTGTTGAAGCTACAGCAAAGCGGACAGATTACCGAGTTAAAGAATAAATGGTGGAAGCAGAAGCGCGGGGGTGGAACGTGCCAAGTACGTAAATATCGTGTTGGAATAATTTACGTATACACCAATACCTTGCTTTGCGTCGTTTCGTTTTGCGTTTTTTCGAAGTTGCGTCGCTGCTTAATTAATACTAATTTTCACTGTGCGTCGTNATACGTAGGAAGAGGGCGGTCAGAGTGCGGCGGAGGAGTTGGATCTTGATAACGTGGGTGGCGTGTTCTTGGTTCTAACCGTGGGCGTAGCTGCCTCCTTCTTCTTCACTATAGCCGAGTTACTATGGGACATAGCTGCTACAGCAATGCGAGAAAACGTAAAAACAAACAAAATACAGATTTCATTAATATTCAAATAAATAACAATTTTAGAAAGACAGGATTAAAAAAAAATGTTAATATTTTGCAGGTATCGTTCAAAGATGAGTTAATCGCTGAGATGATGTTCCTGATAAAGTGCGGTGGGTTTTCGAAACCAGTAAGAAGGAGGAAAGGATCGTCGAATCGAAGCGGAGAGGACAGCAACAGAGGCTGTACGCCTCCATACGGATTTATACCAACGATCACGACTACAAATTCCGATGACAAATAAAATAATGTTTGTAATCCTAATTACATAGTACATAAACAGATCTGTCTGATAAAAATGTACTTAAATATAAACTTGTCGAATTCCATTTACGACTTATTTTGAATAAGGAAAATTGATTGTAGAAAATTTCAAATGAGACTCCTCGCACGACCTTGCGTCTGGCGCAAAGCATCGTCGTAAAAGGAATTTCACGATCGCGTAGGCATTCTGGTTTTTCCGGTTTAGTGTATCTCCGCCGTCTATCTGCGATATTCTCCGATCGGTAGAAGAAAAAAAAAAAAGAAACGAAGGTATCAGTTCGTATTAGAATCGGACGCTGTCGATCGTGAAACGTGGCGCGCATTCTTCCTGCCGTTTAATCGTAAATGTTAATTCATCCCCTTTCCTCGGATCTCTGATAAGAAGATTCGATATCAATCGTTTGTATAGGAATACGAGCAGAGTGCTGCTATCTCCTACGCGGCGCAGAAGCATTAGCGACTCCTATCGGTAAGGCAGTGAGACAGAAATGACATCATCAACGAATGCTAATTTTTAAAACAATTCTCAACAATTTTTATTTCCACTAATATTATCGATTAGATCGTAGATAAGTATAACATAATTGCCATAACGTTTTCAATAAAATTAACAAATTCCACGTCATTAGTCGTTCGTTTCTATAAATATTTTCAAACCGACGAAACGTAAACAGAGATGCAAGCATGGCGTCCCTGTTTCTCGATGAATATTTAAAAGCCCTCGATCAGCATTCCTGAGCCATGGCACAGGATCTTTTTGCTTAATTGGAAGAATATGTCGGAGGCAACAAAGGAGCCAGTCCATATGTTTGCATTAAACAGGGTACGGTAGAGTCCTCGAGGCGCAGGTATACAACGAAAGACACTCCCTTCCTCGATGTCGGAAGTGTCTTCGAGTGGCCGGCCAACTTCGGTTGACGAGCGAGCTGAATTAACCAACTACAGTCAAAGCAAAACAGCTATCCGGCTGTGAGCATCGCCCTTTCACTGGAATCTCAACGAGGACAAAGAGCGAGGGGCTCGATGCTTCTTTTTCTCTGATCATAACCACAGAACATTCTCACGGCATCGTTGATTGTTCCTAGTTATTCTGAGAGAACGTCTTCGATTCAATCTTAAGAGAATATAATAAAATATTCCCTGCAGTAAATTTTTCAATCAATTTATGACGAACGGACAATAAGGTCTAATCAGGCACGTCGACGTTGCATAGAAATGAGAAGTCTGCGATCGAACTTATCCCCTCCCCCCTCTTCCACCGATCTACATTCCTTCTGTTCTGTTTCACCACCCCGAGCGCGTTTAATGTCCCGAGTTTACGAGGAGCCGATGACACAGACACTCAGGAATCTCGAGAGTCGTCGGTGGCGGCAGGACTTTCCGCGCCGGTCGGCTCACCTTTAAAGACGCGCCTACGAGGTGCCTATTCAAAGGTACCAACACGCGAGTTGGAATACGCGATGTAGTATTAAAAGAGCATTAAACGTTCGGACGTAACGTATGGGTCTGCGCGAGCTTTGCCGACGCTACTACCCACTTGCCACCACGCTTGCCAATAAAAAGGACACGAGCCAGGTGGTTGCTCTCTTTTGTTCGTACTTATCGGTCATTTAAGAGTTCACAGACCCCGTGGCGTTTCTCCGAGATCGAAAAACGATCGATGCCTTTGACGAGTCACTCGTTCGGTCAAACTGATGGCTCCAGGCCAGTACGAATCCCTCTGGCGAATCGATATCGGATAACTGAAAGGCCGAGTGCCTGTTGGGTCAATTAGCAACCACGGTAATGCTTATTAACACTNTTCTTACACAATGCAGCCATTTTGACTGCTTTGGGCAATATAGATATATACTAAGTTTCAGTCTTTCTAGTGTTAAAGACGTGCAAGAAAATGTCTGTCGCTTTGAATCTGAAAACGCGTAGCAAGGTTCGGTAGGGTTCTCAATGGCCGAACCGCCATATTGAGCCCAGACAGTGGCGCACCCTACAATTGAATATGTCGATGCTAAGCCCATGGGCAGTACTTTTTGGGCTCGATATGGCGGATTGAGCCATTTTGTCCTCCCGTCTTTGGGAGGACCCTCTGGCCCATAAGTCCACTTCATTCACCGCCCTTCAGGTCCAAAAGCAGCGCCAAGCCGCCATATTGAGCCCACACAGTGGCGCTACAGTAGAATATACGTATTATAGTGCTCAGTGCTTTTATAATAACAGATGAGTAATTATTTCGAGTAAAATATCGAACGGAAGAAAATGAACGAAACGGTCGTGACGTCGGTAGACAATTAAGTAACAAAATAAACGTGCACTCAATAAAGATAAGTTCAAACGCTACACGTACACTCGTGGAAAGGTTAAATGAGATGCACGCGGGGGGCTATCTGTTAAATGCGCGCGTCTTCTTTTAGTAACGGGAGCTGCTCGTTTGCATGGAGGACGCCGCAGATTATCCGATTCTTTATTGTCCGCTTATTTTAGACTATTCCGCAGAATGGGAACGTCACCCCATCCCGAGACTCATCGTTTTAAGTGGTTGAGTTTCAGTCGAACTATATCGCCCCGTTGTTCCGAACTTAACCGAGAGCCTCGGAAAGTCGACTGCCCGGAGTGAAAGGAGACGTTCGAGTTCGACGAGAGGAAACGTTATTCCCAGCGAAGTACGGGAAACAACGTAATAAAAGAGGATAGTTAACGTAGTCGTAAAGCTATTCCTACGACGGGATTGAATATTAAAGCTTTATTAACGTTATGCTGTCCTAGGGCACGATCACTTTCTTATGCACACGTTTTATTGCGTTCGACTCATTTTTCTGCATACCTGAAGACAGTTTACGAAACATGGCCGCTTAGTACACGAATAGTTGTGGCATTTTTAAGAGGAAACAAACTTCCGATTACTTTAAATAGAAACTTCAATAAATGAACTGTTACATTAAAGGATCTCAAACACTACAACACGACATAATATGTTTTGCAAAAAATGCAAAAAGATTCGATTTTTTTTAAGTCTCACACTGGTAAGGCCCACCATGATGAAAAAATAAGTCGTTGTTTAGAAAACGCAAGTAGGCAATATAAAATAACGATAATCGTGATGATAAATAGTCCGGGCGCTCGTAACACAAAAAATGGAACAATTTTTGACAGTCTGCCATTGATAGGGGAAATATTTACAGCCACAAGCTGTAGATAGATGTACTTAAAAATCTTCGTTACGTGTTAATGCACACTTACACATTAACTTTAGTTAGCAAAAAGAACGTAGTTTCTTGAAACAACTTTTAAACAGTCTGCCACTTTACGCTAACATTAGCCTAAATCGAGCTTGGCAGATTGTAAAAAATTGTTCTTAGACGATTGTTCTTATACGATTTAATTGGTAACTAACATAAGTACGCTTTATTCTTGTACTGGAGAAAACCATCTGCCAATAAGCTTTTCATGGATTGCGCAATCTTGCCTTGTGCTCAAATAAATGGCAGACTGTTTGAAAGTTGTTTCAAGAAACTACGTTCTTTTTGCTAACTAAAGTTAATGTTTAAGTATGCATTAACACGTAAAGAAGATTTTTAAGTACATCTATCTACAGCTTGTGGCTGTAAATATTTCCCCTATCAATGGCAGACTGTAAAAAATTGTTTCATTTTTTGTGTTACGAGCGCCGGGTCTAAAATGAACGTTGAACTGGCCAGGAGAGCTCGCAATTCAGCTGGAATTTATAATGGCGGTAGAGGACCGGTGCGGCTGCGTAATGAATTTAAATCTTAACCGCGTCGCGGTAACTTCGATTTATCCGCGCGCGCAGGATGTGCCGGTCGAGAGAGCGCGGGACCAGTCGTTTTTTTTTATCTCCACCGGCGCGAGCGCGTTATAAAAATTAATACGCACGATATTTCACCGAGTTAACAACGTTGCGTGTAACGCGACACTTCGCCCCGTTTCTTTTTCTTCGCGCGCCGCGCGATCTCCTCCGGCACCGGAACGAGGAGAATCGGAGGACTCGTTCATGAATATTTCGCGTTAACGAGACCCCGATTTGCATACGAACGACTGATGGCGATACGATTGAGACATCACAGTTTCTTCGTACGAGAATAACACGCGAGAATTTTCATAATCGACGGTCAAAGAATAGGAGAGAGCATGATGTAAAAACATAAGGTGTGTTCTTGCGCATCCATTTGAACAACTAATCACGAACGCTTCCACTCGTCGGCCATTTTAGATTTTTAACCAATCACACTTCATATTATAACAGNCAAAACGTTATTTATTATTACTATCAATTATTATTTAAGACGTGTCACTCCCTAAGAAGTTACCCTACGGCGATGTAATAACTCTCGACTTCTAAAGAACGTAACGAGAGGACTTACCGTCTTCCATGCGCAGCAGCAGTTTTCTGATAGTCACGAGCGACGTGGTTAACTCGGCGTTTCGCGTTCCCGTTCCGGCGGCTAAAGGAATTAAGCGGTATGACGGGCAACAAATTCGACCGCCACTGTGGAACAAAGGGGGATTCTCGAAAGAGGGTGCGACAAGATTAAGTGGCGGGAAGCGTCGTCGCGGGTAACTCGCGACGTATGTCGACCTGACGGAGGCTGTCACGTTGTCAGAGTTACGTCCCGTCGCACTGTTCGACTGTATAAATCGATCGAGTGAAAAATAAGTCCGACGGGATTTCCCGACTCGGCGGTCGTCGCTGTGCCGGAATCCATCTACA